TTTTGGCTTTCCTGTTCACTTAGCAACAGACTGTACAATCCTTCTTGTATATCCAAAATAGTGATATAATGATAAACTTTTATTGCGTATCATTTTACCAAATTAATATCAATGTAGACTATCTAAAATGGGGAGCACACATCTGTTTTTTTCCAACAGAATTTGACAAATCCAATTTCAGTAAAATAAAATTACCAGGTTTTGGTCTGTCAGCTGGCAGTCTAATTAGCAGGGGGCTTTCATTCAGCTGTTGAGGACTGATCCTGAAAAAAAGATGAACAAGATTTGTAGGTACATAGTATTTTCTACAAAATAAAAAAAATGTCCAGATTGGTTAAGCTGACGGCATTTTGTGAAATTTTAAAATTTATCTAAAAAAAATAAGAATCAATTTTCAGTTTTTCCAACCATGCATTCTAAGACCATAGTACATAATTTAGCAGACTATTTCACATATGCATTAAATTAAGTTCTAAAAGATCATACCACATCAGTATGGTGTGATCAAAGGTATTCTGATTAACCATTTTTCTGATTCACTAAACTGATACAGGTGAGAAGGAACCAAAAAGTCATAATTTCTTGGCAGCTGCCAGTCCTAAACAGAGTTTGCATTGTAAAATCTCTATCCTGGCATTCATGTCAGTTATCAGACTAATTGAGATCAATACGACCTAAAGGCACTTGACATCTTGCAGAAAGGTCCTGAACAAATACCATATTTACTTGAATATAGGATGACCCTGAATGTAAGTGACCCCCCCCCCACAATAATTAGATGTTGTATATGAAAAATATATAAATTTGTTACAGTTTTCCATATAGAATCTACTTATTAGAGGTTTGCCTGGAATTTGTCTCCCTCCTATTGCTACACAAGGTAAAATAAATATGGGGGGGGTCAGGTAACCCCTTTGCCTTCTGCCTGCACCAACGTCTTTCTCCTGCAGCCCTTTCCCCCCTTCTTTACTATGAGAACTTTGTCCTCCCTGAGCACATGGAAGTGAGGACCAAATTTTGATAACACTGACCTTGAAGTAACAGATTACTACAGATCCCTATAGACTTGATTGATGCACTTTTACCTTTTTTGAAACTGGTACAAGTTTTAGCACAGGTACCACTCCGTAAACGCACTTTGAAGCATCACTTTTACACCTATTCATATATAGTGCAAACTATCTATGACATTAGTCAAAAGCCAAAAGTCTCATCATTTACCATATAGTTCATCAGACTGGGACTTAATGGAGTCAAGTGTTTCAAGCCATGATGACCCTACAGCCCAGCATTACTCAGTAGGTCTGTGTGTGTACTCCAGATGTCCCCCTTCCTCCCCTGAGGTGCAGCTCAGTTGTGGGAGTGAAGCAAAAGTCTAAATGTATGCAGTGTAGTGGCTCACCATGACTTGAAAAAGAATTGAGATTGAGGGGGGGACTGCACTCAATGGGCACTTACCATATATTTTATTCAGATGTGTCGCACTAATTTGTCCCTATGGTAAATTGCCATCAGCATTTTTGGCACCAGGGCTTCTTGGCCTCTTGTAGGTTGAGATCAAGTGTAAGAAGTATCTGCAGTCTCAGACTAAAGAGTCTGAGATGGAGGATGGTTGCCTGTAGTTTTTGAGGGCATCTGAATCCTAAGACCTCCGGGCTTGGGTCTGGCACATAGGATACCTGCCAGTAGATTTTGGAGTATCTGAAGTCCCAGGGTGAGAGCCTGGGATTAAGGATGCTTGCTGGTTGTAGTGCCATACATGGTGGTTAGAATGATTGAGTTCTGCCTTCGCAATCAACGTGGCTTTTGGAACGATTGAATTCTGCTCAATCGATAAGATTTGGAACTGATTTCACTAATTTGAGCCGGAACACAAAATGTACTATTAAAAAAGAAAAAGTTCCCATCAGCATTTTTGGCACCAAGGAAGGGTGTCGGAGCTTGTTTTGGTCTCTCAGGGCGCATCCACATGAGCACGTACGTGCCTCTTGCCCTGCATCAAACCCCTTTGAGGCAGAGCAACAGACACGTGCGGGAACAAAAAAAATGTTCCCCATGCTGCAAA